GAGGTTCGGAATTGCCAATAACTTGCCAGTACGGGGCTTGCCTTTAATAGCTCTACTGCCTAGTTACGGTACCGTACATTCGCGCCAATAATTTTTTGATTTCTTGATATTGTGTTCACAAATCAAAACCACTCTGAAGCCAACGAGCCGTCTTCTTTCAATTTTTGGACAATCAAATATAGATGATGATACCGGTAGACCTTCCAAAACTGAAAAGTATGAGCACCTCTGTCGCACTGACTCACAATATTACACCTGAATATGGTAATAGAAACTCGTTAGTTGAACGTAATAATGGTGCGGCTGCTGCTGCCACCATGCTCCCAGTAGTCTGTGGAGGACTTTCTGGCATGCTGGCAAAGACTGCAACGAATCCTTTTGAGAGGATCAAAGTACTCTCCCAAACGGGAGACCACTTAATGAAGTCGTCTTCAATAATCGATTTGTATACGGGAATCATACGCAATGAAGGTGTGATTGGTTTGTGGGCCGGAAACGGGGCTAATTTGGTTCGAATTTTCCCAGCAAAGGGTATTCTTTTTTCAACGAATGACGTGTATCAGGAATTCTTCCGCAAAGTCGCTAAGACGTCGAAGAGCGAGAAGCTACCACTTTTCTATACATTTATTTCAGGTGGCGTTGCTGGGATGACCGCGTGTGCTCTTACGTATCCCCTGGACTTTGCGCAGGGACGGATATCCGGAAAGCTGGCGTCACATGGCAATAGGAAGGAATACCGTGGAATTATCCGCACGGTCCTCACAACGGTAAAAGATGAGGGCGTCTTGGCCTTGTACAAAGGTGTAACACCGACTACTATGGGTGCATTACCGTATGAAGGAATCAAGTTCGGAACAGTTGGCTTCTTGGAACAATGTTTTCCTGTGGAACAAACAACACCGTTGAGAAAAATGATGTTCGGGGGAATAGGTGGGGTTATTGCGGGATTAGTTACGTTCCCAAACGACACCGTCAGGAGATTACTTCAACTTCAAGGGAGTCGAGGATCGAAGACAAATTATTGTGGATTTTTGGATTGTATACGACAAACGTACAAATCTGAAGGGATTACTAGGTTTTATCGTGGATTCACGATTAATATAGTTAGGATGGTCCCAAATGCTGCTGTGCAGTTCGGTTCGTATGAGGTACTTAAGAATCTGACAAAGAACTACTTCTAAAAGACGCAAAAATGGATGAAAACAAAATCCTTCCATTTTCAGGGTACCAAGTGACTTAGGTTGATCCCAACAAAAGTAACCACCAACAGTCTTGAAAAAGTTCTAGTTTCACTCAAAGTACTCACAACATGTGGTATGAAAATTTTGAAACCTAAATACAGAATCTAATCTTCTCTACATTGTTTCCGTAGCCTTCGATCAGCCTCCTCATACTCAATTATGTATATGATTGTTGACGGTGCAACTACTGCTCGATCCTTCTGTTGGTGAACTCAAGTCGATCAAAGTAGAGGTTTGAAAGTAATCGCGGTGCTTGAAGCACTGTGTATGCAATGCGTTCTTCAAGGCATATTTCAGAAAGTAATACTACATATTTTATAGCGTTGTACAATTGAAACGAATCTTTGTACTTCTGTTTATGTTGATAACTCAATACGAAAGGTACAGTCCAAACCGATGAAAGAATATGATGTAGAAAAAAAAGGTGTTTAAATGAAATGCTGCCCGAATTTTTCCTCATACCAACGCAACATTTCTGATTCATGGGACAATCCAAATACCTGACTGGTCTATTCAAAACCTTCACAACATTCTAGTGTTTCTTTCGGCCTCGTTAAGATGCTTCACGAAATAGGAACGAACGACGACGCGATCACTTCCATCATATTTTAAGTTTTGGTATGGCGTTCTTCCGTGGACAACTTTTTTATTGTTGAAGAGCACCATTGCTCCGTCCCGAAGATGTACCCCTGATGGCCTTGCATCCAACAAGACTTTCCGTAATTTGACAATGGCTTGTGAGGCCTCGGGATCTACTCCAACCATATTTTCCCAATTGACAGGAAGATGAAGGGATGTACCATCCAATAAAGCTCGCGCCTTGTCAACGTCTTCGTCCACCGACATCAAATCAACCCATTGAGAAGATGCAGTTATCTTAAAACGATCTTGCTGTAATATCAATCTGATGTGGTTTGGCAAAGCCTTGATGACTTTTTCAGTTGAAACCAAAGTTGTCTCGACATCGGGGTCTTCGCCTTCTCGAAGACAGATTAACCCTAACAAATCGGGAATTACACCATGATATGACATGTCTTGGTGGTAATACAATGTTCCAACAGTGCTCGTCAAGGCCGATCCTCCCGGTCCTGGCCGAGGAAATCCTTCATGAGCCCAAGGATTACTGCCCGGCAATGGTCATACAGAAGTTCCACATCAAAAGAGATGACCAAATGATGAATGATAATGAAACCAAGGTGGAGATCATGGTTGATAAGCTGCTGTAATTTTTTTCTATCAGTAATTTCCTTGTTTTTTCTCTCTTCTTTCCCCGCTATTGCTTCTTATCTTGTGACTTACCTATATTCTGTTTCCGCTTTGTAACCTACCGTGTATGATCCAGCAAGTTCTCCCATTGCCAACAGTGTGGCTTCTGCTACAAAAGTGGGCTTCTGCAAGCTCCGCAGTGTTTCTCTAGTGGGAGTAGGCGGGACATACGGGTCCACAGGAAGATTTTCGAATACAATAGCATCGATTGAATCAGGTCCGTCGTCTGAAACCAAGTGCGACAAAATCCTTTGCAGATTGTTGTCGCTTGCCACAAATGGCGCTAAGATATCTTTGGCTTCTTGTATGAATTTTTTTGTGTGTAAAACGCTGTCTTTGTCCGTCCAATGTAACCGTGCTAGTTTATTTCCTAAAGCAAATTTTGCAGCGTCAGACATGCTCCAATAGACAATATTGGCAAGGCTTTTTCAGAGTGTCAATTGTCAACGAAGATAAAGTCGTGAAGAAGTATAAATCATAGTAGTATTTCCAACAGAGAAAGGAAGACAAGTCAGAAAACAAATGAAACACAAAGTCCAACGAACGCGAAAAATTCATAGAATCTTTGACAAAGTAGGCTTACAAGTCTGATTGCTCTTCTTTTTGTAAAGATCGCTCCCATGTACTTCCGTGAAATTCTGCGACACTTTGATTTACATTTTGAACTCCGTAATGCAACGAAAGCTTTAAGTATGAGAGACCAAAACCAAAAGTGAGCCGAACTCAATTCAAATAAATTCAAGGTAATTCTTTAAGGAATGACATACGATAGAGCATCATTTTTATACTCACAGTCAACAGCACAGTGTAAACACCAAGGATGTATCGAATTTTTCCCTTCGCCACAATCCAGAAGAACAGAATCTGTAAAGATGTGATCAGACTCCATTGTTGACTGTTTTGCCTCCAATTGGAATTTTCTTCCATCCTCTTTCGAGATTTATAGACCTCACGGTCGCCATGGCCTTTCGTAAGAAACATCGACCGCAAATGATCGAGAAACTTTCGGAGGTAAGTTATACGGTGTGTGATCAAGTGTAACTTTCTTCCGTTTTCTTCGCTTTCTTTCACCTTATTGTTCCTGCTTTTTCTTTTTTCATCATTTCTTTAGTTTGAATAAATAAGATTCACACTGGAGCCTCTATGATAGCTATGGCAATCTTCGATAGGTTCCTTTAATCCTGAGGATGATCATGAAACAGTAATATTATCGAAAGTACCTCCATCGTCTCTCTCCGGAATGCTCAGACACACATGGCGAAGAGAGATGTTCGTGTGTGTTTGATTTCAAACATGAAAATGAGAGCGAGCCTCGCATGTTAAAAACAGAAAGAAAGAGTAGTCGAGAAACTAGCTTCTGTACTTTACATCTTGCATGAATGCATACGTACTGGTACCGGTACATAAAGTACTTACGTAGTCTTGAGGAAGTTCTTCATTTCATTTCAGGACCAGATCAAAAGATTTCCCAAGTCTCCTGGAGTTGGCAGGCACATGCAGAAGAGATCGAACACGAGCGTTGCCACGGGGAAAATATGATTGGAATATTACTATTATGTTGTTGTTATACTATTACTTCACCTCTCCATTGAATAACTATGAGTTGTGCTTCGTGATTAAATTCCTTCAACTGAACCAAGCAGGACTTAAAGCCAACTTCAAGTCTCTGCTCTACCAATGGGCATGTGCGTTTGGGTTTCCTATATCTTCTACTCTCATGAATGGTAAATCGGTGTGGTCGCATTCAAATTTTACGATAAGCTGATTTTGAGCAGAGTTAGCAGTGAAACATGTGCGATAGGGTTTCCACTGGATTTCGTTTTTGGTGGTATTTGACAGAGGAAATCGATAGTTTCGAGAATGAAAGAAAGATCTATTGTTGGTCCCAGAACTGGTAAAACATTTGGAGTAACCCCCAGTCGCCATCAATAATTTTCCTTCCAAAGATACTGTCAACTGCGTCGTACGCATCAAAGATTTTGCGGTCTTCAAACGATTTTCTGCCGAGGTGTAGCCCGTGTCCTGGGCCTGTACGTACGACTCTAGCTCGGTCCATTGCATGTCTTGAATTAGTTCTTTCATGCCAAAGTGCATTCGAAAGAAAGTTCTATTGTGTTCGGTCGTCAGACGTCGAAAGCCGTGCCAAAAGCGTCCAGTCCCATCTCTCAGAGACAGTCGAACAAAGACGTATCTGTCGTTGACACTATTCATCCGGTAGTCGTACCATTCGTTCCAGAAGTTCTCTTGCGACGATGATGAACACGATGTCGCTAATGATGAATCAATATCGGTAGCAGAAGAATGGGCCATCGATAGAGGAATCTCGCTATCTTTAACCGGCATGCGATCAAAATCATATATCCGAGATGCATCTTTCTCTCGTTCTTGTACAAAGATTGCTTCTTCGGCAAAAAATCGACCAACCTTGCGAGCTAACAGCTCTCTGCTGGAAAGAGAGTCAGGTAGCATCGCGTTTTTGCCATGGTCGTTCTCGTTAGTGACGTTTCCCCTTTCTAAATTTATCGGCGATTCCGTCTCATCCAAAGCAACTGTGATATCCTCAGCATTCAGAGATCGCCATCTTTTATGAGCGAAGCCCATGTTCTTTTCATCGCAAATGGACAGGTAATACCATTGCCTCGCAAACAATAATTGGCCAATCATATTCATGTGGGTGTTTTCCAGCTGAAATAGAGCAATCTCATCCAAAAACATCATGACATTCTCAATGATATTATGGTCATGTAATAGTTGTAATCGAGATTTGGGATTCGCTCGTTTGTGGTTGTGAGCATTGATGCCTTCGCTTTTGTTTTTCTTGTAGTCAAAGATTTCCTCCATAGCAGATGATATGGAATGCGGGTGAGTTCGTTTCTGATTGCCTTGACTCGACTTTGGATCGGAAGTCGAATTCAGCATCAACGAAATCGTTGTCGTAGTTTCGCTTGCTTTGCGCAGGTCTTTTGCGCCGCATGCTTCGCGAGCAGAGGATAAGCGGGGTTCCATTTTGAGGTTGAATTATGAATTTCTAACGCTGGTTCTATCGCATCATTGTATTCCACTAAGACTTTGATATCGGCTGGTATCAAACATAGTGCAACAATCCTGATTTGAGAGCTTTTGGGTTTTGGTCTCTATTGTATTTTCCGACTCCAGGTGCCACTACATCAGCATCGTAGTATTGGAAATCGCCGAGGTCGTATCGCACCTCAACTCTGTTTCCCTTGCCGTTTTGTCGACTTCGGCGCTACGATAAGTAGGCATGGGCAAAGCATGCGAATGTACGTATGCTCCTTAGTGTCACGAGCAACTATTTACTCGTGATTTAGGTTGTACGTGTATTACTGGCTCACAAAGCAAAATCGTTACGTTAACCGTATCTTCAAGGTAATAATCTAAGTACGTACTAATGACACCGGACAGTACGGCAGTCATATTCGGGCTTATCTCGTGACTTCAAATCACTCCTGCTCAGCAAGTGGAACAGATGAAACTGAAAAACTACTACTAAAAAATAATGAAAAATGATGAGAAGAAAATCAGTAGGTGTTAGTTGAAAGCTGGTAATGGGTCTGCAACGGATACGTACGTACTGTATTGAAAGGATACGTACGTACTGGAAAGGAAGCATACGTACGATACGATGCTCCCTCTGAATGGATGGATATACCATTCCTACCTACATATCATAATATACTATTCATATATACAGATCATACGATCCTTCGGTTGAGGACCGTAAGAGGTCTAAGATACYATTCGAGAATACCTCACGAAGAATAGAGATGTCACGAGTCCGGAACAGAGAACCTCCATGTAGAATCCCTACCAGGTCTACATGAGGTTCCAATCGGAACTTCGGAATTCTCGTGAACGCGCTTGGTAATCTTCGAATAATTCTAATCTTATAATTTCAATTTYCATACACACTTAACACCTACTAAGAGTACACGTAATCTCGTGCAGGGTCATTCCTGGAATACCAGAGGCCCTGAATTTTGGTCACAATCTAGGATTTTGGGTAACAAAATACCCAAATCATACTAGTGGAAGTTCCCCCGCCCCTCCTCTTGACTTCCACCATCTGGTGAGTTTTAGTACTGAAGTATGTTCTAGTACAGATTATGTGCAAAGTGCCTGTGGTGCCATACATGACTGCTTGGATTCCATTATCTCTATTCACCCAGCAGAAGACCAACTGATAGGTCTAGTAGTAGGCACCTCGTATTCCAGGAATGACCCAAGAATCATGGTTGATGAGCAGAGGTAGTACTACTAGTATCAGCATAAAGTCTGGGCCCTCCAGAACCCACACACAAATCCCTCTTTTTGAATTCCTCCCCTAGAAAGACATGGGTTATTTTTGGTGAAAAATAACCCACATTTAAGACACATGGGTTTTTTGGGTAAAAAATAACTTACCTTTCAGAAATTGGTTTTGTCAAGATGAAAAATAACCCACAAAAGAACCCAGGAACCCATGAATAACCCACCAAATTAGAGTCATTTGTTTAGATGAGAATCAAACATAGCCATTACTAATGTTAATTTAAAATTGTTTTTTGGTGTTTGAAAATAGACCCAATGTATTTGTGGATTATTCATGGGTTATCTGTGGGTTTAACTTTTTGTAACCTGTGTTCCCAAATGTTGCCACCTGCAAAATCTAGGGGAAGAAATTCATTGCTACTGCTACTACACCACTACTACTCTACTTATGGTATTCCTCTCATTATAATATTATAAGAATCTTACTTAACAAATAGAAATATAATTATTCATTTATAACACATCACTGCACCTGATGGTTGAAGTTACTAGAATGCTCTTTACAAATTCTGCAACATCAACCATTCCTTGATATTTTCATAGTAGTACTAACAAGGATCCCTGGCAACTTCCTTGATCTCCTCACTGATAAGTCAGGATACCTTTGCTCTGCTCCTTCTACGCAAACAAAACAATAGTTCCTCTTCACTCCTTCATACTTTTCACTGCATCTTTCTTCATATGTCTTTGTTCATCAATGCAATGCCAATATGCATGAGGAGCTTGAGTCAGGAGCTTGAAATCTTTTCTTTCCATTGTTGTATAGTAGTATGGATGAGTTGTATACTTTCCACCATTCCTTCTTCATGAACTTGTCACATAGAAGGCTGGTCCTATTTATGTAGCAGGAATGTACAACTCTGTAAAGCAACAACCAGAAGAGGAGAATAGGAAGATACCATCTGTTTGTGCAAAGTGATGTTGAATATTTTGTGTTATCAGTTTGATTGGCTTGGCTTCTACTGTAAAGGAACATATTGGCTAACAAAGGCAAATCCATTTCTGCTCATTGTGTTCTTGACAAAGGATGTATAGATTCTGCAATTTTCAACATCAGCCAATGTATTTGAGGCAATTGCTTTGAACTAAAAACTCTGAAGTAGATGCATGCCAAGAAGATGTAACCACATGTGAAATTCCACTGCTCTGTCAATGACTCTAAAACACACTTCCTTTAATTGGGACATGTGAAGACATTGTATGAATAGCTTGAGAATCTTTCTCTTCTTTGTTGTTACCTGCCCCTCAACATCTGTAGTAGCTTCAGCAGTTGGTCAAATATCAACTGTTTACTTCACATGATGGATGAAAAGGTTTCCCCAAGTCATGTCTAAGAGGTTTATAAAATTATTTTGGAGTTTCTATCTGGATTTACCAAGCTACTACTGCTGTCTGTAGGATATCAGACCATGAGTATGATTCATATATATGACACATACACATGACACGTATCTACGATTCATACACACCATACATATATGACTCACGCGATCACATTGATCCATACGCTTGACATGACTCATTTCATTCACTTACCTGAGTGACTCAACTCATTCAATTCACACATCACTCGATCCTCACAGTGATCGATTCTAGATTTCATACTAGCTTGTCGATCCTCGATAAGAGCATTGACTCACTTTTCTTCTAGCACACACCATTTTATATCACTAGTATTAGGATAGTCACTCCCACAGGTTATGATACCCTACTACACCAGATCATCCACCTGGGTCTGGTGGTGTAACAAACCAGATTGAGTGAATTTTCAGTACTGCATTATTTTGTCAAAAGTTGATCAAATATCAACTTTTTACTTCATGGCATGGATGAAAAGGTTTCCCCAAGTCATGTCAAAGAGGTTTATAAAATTATTTTTGGGTTTCTATGGGTACCTTGCTGAGTTGTCGGTACTAATGAAAAAAAAACACAAGCACCACCACCTTCAAGAGACTACTAGTATTAGTACTATTATTAGTATCATAGGCAATGTCATGCATTCTCACCATTCATTAGTACTAGTAGTAGTACTACTACTACTAGGATTTCTACTAGAATTCTGGTGGGTAAAAGAAAAGAATACCCCAGTAGTACTAAATGGAAATTGACAGGGGGTGAACTTCCACTATGGGTCATTTTGGCCCCAAAACAAATTCTTATCCAATTCGTGGCCACTACAAGTATTACTACTAGTAGTGCAAGTAGTAGTAGGTTTACAGGGAATTGAATTAACCATGAGTACTAGTACTAGCAGACCAAGAATTTTTTATTTGTGGTTGAATTTGCTCAAATGTTCATTCGGTAATTCGTTATGTACGTACCGGTATTACGTATGTATTCGTACTGTAGAACTAAGGAAGATACCGATACGTACAAGCAGTAGTAGTACGTACGTACGCACTCGTACTTTGAGGACTATTTTTTTTCTGCACCGGTATTCGTAGTCGTATGAGAACACGGTGGGCCCGCCCAAGAGAGCTCCTTCCAGCCACTCAAAAATTATTGACCCATTGTCGACTTTTTGTGATGATGGGGTTCGTTTTCGGAGGTGGTGATTGGTGATGGTCATTTTCCTCTACGTTTATGTCACTTCCTCTTACTTCTGCAAGGCGAAGGCACGACTAGGAGCAGCAAAAGGTATCAGGTTCCGTAATCGTACGGTACTACAGTAGTCTCTAAGGTTTTTTGAGTGCGAAGGGAATCTTGGATTCCGAATGAACTTAGGCCTCCGAGGTCGCGTAGAAACGAAGTTACCGTATGGAACATAATTTGAGATTGGCATAGCCCCCAGAAATTCGTCTAGGCTGAGCAGAATCCACAGTATAGAATGTACGTAAAAGGGTGTTAAAAAATTAAAAAATGACACACGATGTTTCTTTCTGATTCTTTGCTAAGGATGGATCTGCCGTACCGGTACAACAATCTGGAACCGTTCATTTGAAATCTATGGAAACTACGGGAACTTCATTCATCAATGTTTGCTGTTCCTAACGTGGATTCTTTTGTTTGTGCGTCAGGTCGCCGTACTGGAGGAATTTCGGATGAATGACAATTTTCTTCCGCACCCCCTCTAAATATTTCCACCAATAGATATCTTTGAAGTTCAAAGCGTTCTGGAAGTTAGTTGTCGATCAACAAGAACATTGGACAACAGGATTTAGTCCTGGAAGCGACGACATTTAGTGTTCCCAACCCGTCGTCGGTTTTCAACAAAATTAACGTCATAAAATCCAAATATTTAAAGATTAATTCATTCTAAATAATTATTTCGAAGATGGTTGCAGCTGCTGGAGATAATCAATGCGAGGTCGTCCTCGTCGGATGTGGAGCCCCCAAGAGAGGAATGGGATGGTACCACGCCGTTCAGATGATCAAGGGAAAGTGCCCTTCGGCCAAGCTGTGCTACGTCGTCGAACCTTGGTTCATGGGACCTGGTACGTTATCTTGAGTCAATTCAATGCGTTGAAGTTTAATCGTATGTGACTAATGGCATGGTCGAACTTGGCAGTATATGAAGTTCAGATTGGATTGCCCCGAGAGTTTTGTAATATAATGGTATCTTTTTGTATGACTCACGACACGTTATCTTATTCTCAAACATCACAGGTGCTGCCGGACCTGGAGGACCTGAATTCGGCGAATTTCAGAAGGAAAACGAAGCTGATGGCATTCAATTTTTCAAGGCCATGGGCGATCTTCCCCCGGTCGCTGAGGGAAAGAAACGTTTGGCTTTGATTTCGGGACGTACCGCGGACAATCCGCGCCTTCTCGGAGAGTGCATTGCCAACGGGTGCACCACCATTTATTTGGAAAAGCCTGGTGCTCCTTCTGTTGCAGAGCTCGCAGCAATGAGAGATGAAGCCAAGGCCGCTGGTGTCACGGTTCTCATGGGATACAATAAGAACGTCTGCAAATACGTTTCCAAGGCCCGTGAATACGCTGCCGCCAACGAAGGATCTCACGTTACTTTTGTATCAAACAATGCCTACGAAAACAATGCTGCGTCCTTGGGAGAATGCTTTGAGCGCAACCGAGAAGGTATGTTGAAAAACATGGCCATCCACGAATTGGCACTTCTTGTCAGTTTCTTCGATGTCACTGTTGAGACCATCGAGAAGTGCGAAGCTGACAAGGAATTTTCCTCGTGCCAAACACTGAAGGGGCCTTCTGGAGATGACTTTACCGACTTTGACAAGATCAAATTCACCATCACCACAAAGAGTGGAAAAAGTGTTAGTGTTCAAGCTGACCGATGCGGAGGAGATGTGTCTTGGGCGTCGGTCGCAAATGCCGATGGGAAAGAAGCCTTCAGACACTCTATGCCCGATGAGGAGGATATTGCCAACGTTACCGTTCTGAAAGAGGAATACCCCGGGGCCATGCCTTATTTCTTCTCTCAGGATCCTGATTATATCACTGTAAAGGAACGTGTCGCCTCGTTTTGCGCGAATGGAACCGAAGCCACCGGAATTGCCACCATTGACGTTGCTGTGGAGACCCTTCGTGTTGCCGAATATTTGACCCCCACCCTTCAAAAGCAACTTCAAGCATAGACAGATTTGAAATACACACACCATCCGTTTCATCATAACATTTTATAGAATCGCCCAAAATACCCTTCAAATTCTTCATGTTTTAAAAATTACTGGAACTTTTTGACGTCGAGTAGTAAGAAAACTGCAGCCGCTACGACCAGTGTCTCCATGACACATCCTGTCCCGTGCGGGTCGCTTATTTTCGAACAGCATTCTGAAAACACCACTGGATGGTTGGCGAAATGATACACCAAGAAACTTGGATCCAGAAATCGTTTGAATACAACTTGAAGGAAATTACGCTTCATCATCAATCCATTGATTTTTATTGTAGGACAGACATGTCAATAATAGAGAAGTAAAAATCAAGAAGACAAAACCAACAGCACTAGAGTATCTTGGCAGGAAAAACACTAGCAGCGTTGAGTGGTGGATTGACTGGATTCAATGCTGATCAAAAACCTTGGTCTACTACTAGAGACATTCCAATCGCATTTATGTTGGAGGAAAACAACAATTACACCAACTCTTGTGGAGCAAATCAAACAAAGGATTGCATCAGAATATCTTTGATGGCATTTATGGCTGCAGGCTGCATGGAGATTTTCCTTGCCCTTGTTGGCCAAAACCACCTAAACGAGCCTTGAATAGGCAGCAGCCATCACAAAAATGCCTGATTTGACCATGACATGACACTATTGTTTGGACGAACCTACTGGGAGTTCTTCCTCCTTCACTGAGAACAGGAGTGTTCCAAATCCAGAACTCCCTTCATTCCAATTCTACTTGGACTGCAGGATTGGTGATAGTTTTTTGATACTAAGCAGCTGGGTAAAGATTTTGTTTCTGGTCTCCAGTGTGACAAAAATAAATTATTAGTAGCTTGTAGATACAGTATGATTGCTTCTCTGGAGATTGGCTAAAAGGCAAAAATAATCATGACAGTTGTTGTGGTGCAAATCTCTGAGAATCATACTGGGTTTTAACAAAGCTCCACCAGTGCATCATACTAGAGAGCACAAGGCATGAAAGGCACAGGCTCAAAGTTGGAGAGAAAGCTCTTCAATATGCGTCACAAAAAGTGTTTGCGACCACTAGCGACCACTCGCGACCTTTTTTTAAAAAATACGCACCCCTTTTTTTTTTCTCGCGTCCACCAAACCTCCCGTATGTCATGGTTTTGGTCGCATTTAAACCTAAACGTAGTTGCGAGGGTTGCGTTGGGTTGTTATGGAA